GTCCCCACAGGCTCATGTGTTTGGACACTGCTGTCCAGCTGCGGTGTTGTTCTGGACGGTCATGGACACGAAAGAAGGCAGGGAAGGCCAGGGAAATAAGATTTGATCTCTGGATCCCACAAGGTGGTAGGAGAGAAACAACGCCTGAGGGCTGCTCTCTGACCTCCACTTGAGTGTTGTATATATGCACACACACAGATTAAATACATACATACATATATACGTACATAATTAAGAATTTAACAATGAAATTTCATTCTTAGCGGGAAGCTGTGCCCTGCTCAGGAACAAGGCACTCATTATTTTAGCTCACTAGAGATCTCAATTCAGTGATTCCTGGAAGACAGAAGTTACAGCTAGCACAAGTAGAAACACAGTTCACTGTCAGCAGAGTTTCAGAAATTCACCAAGACTAAATCTAGGTAAGAGAGAGAGAGACAGAGACAGACAGAGAGACATACAGAGAGAGACAGATAGAAACAGACAGAGAACACTGAAGCAAGGACTAATCCATTTCCAATACATTTTGAAATTACTGCTTGAAACCCATGTAAGGGTTTTCAGTTTAATGACACAGTGTGTGTCCAGGACTCCGCATGTTCTTAGTATGAAGGGCTTATTACCAGAAATTTCGAATTATTAACTTTGAATGTTTAAATTGAGCCATGAGTAACAGCTGCAAATAGAGAGGGGGGTGTTTGTGTGTGTGTGTACCACAAAGACTCACATACAGGGATTAAGATGCTGAGGGAAATAAATTAATACTTGTGACCTTGAGGTTGTAATTCAGGAAGACTCTCAACCATCAGGTTAGGTCACCAGAGCTCACAAAATTGCCTTTTCAAGTGAAGGGAGTCCGCTAACCCCATCGACTAAGTAGTGTATTGAAATCTCTAACAGATGGAATTGAACCTAAAGAAAGTCCACAGCAGACAGACGTATGTTGCAGCTGTAGTGATACATAAGCAAGTGTAGAAAGCCCTCAAGCGATGACTGCAGTCGGCTGGCAATGGGGTTCCGCACGAGGCACGGTGTCCGCAATGTCAGTCTTCACCATAGTGTATCACTTCATAGTTTGGTTTTTGTTAGTTGGCTTGGCACCTGCCGTTGTACTGGGGGGGTGAATTTAAAATCATGCACATATTAGGTGTCTTAGTTACTATCCTATTGCTGTGAAGAGACTCCATGACCAAGGTAACTCTTATTTAAAAAAAAAAAAAAAAAGCATTTTGTTGGGGGCTTGCTTACAGTTTCAGAGGGTTAGTCCATCATACAGGAAGTAGACAGGTGTGGCGTTAGAGCAGAACCTGAGAAGTTTACACCCTGATCTACGGGCGACAGGAGAAAAGAGGCTCTGGGCCTGGTGTGGGCTTTTGTAACCTCAAAGCCCTCTTTCTCCAACAAGGCCACACCTCCTAACCTTCCCAAACACTCACTCCCTAGTAATCAAGCATCAAACACATGAACTTACGGGGCCATTCTCATTCAAACCATCCCATTAGGTAACCATTCTACCGGCGAGCTTTAGCCTTTAAAGTAATATAAAAACTTGGACAGAATACCGGATGTTACCCTAGGGCAGGTCTCTTTGTTGACCAGGGTACCCTGTTGACTTGGCCAACGCACAGCTCCTGCAGGGACCTGATTATTACACTAGTGAGTGGAGGAGAAGACCAAGCAGAGTGGCCCTAAGAGAGCGGGAAGGAACAGCTCAGTGTCTCTACAGTGCCAAAGATTCTGCAGTCACTCAAAATACTAATGTACTTGATCAGCGTGGGTTAAGCAGAATCATGACTAGGCTGTACAAAATAGTGAACATGATCTAAGCAGTGAGTATTTCTGAGTACATATGTAATTTTATTTTCTATGTGTAGTCCTGGCTGTCCTGGAACTCATTCTATAGAGCACGCTGGCCTTGAACTTGGATATCCTCCTGCCTCTGCCTCCCGAGTGCTGGGATTAAAGGTATATGCCATCACTGCCCAGCATATTTCTGCAAGATATTGAAAAAAAATTAAAAATAACTAAATACTAAATAAAAGGGGAAATCAGACATCTTATCACTAGTAGAAAATAAAAACAAGCTGGTAACCAGCACCAGGATTCAGTTCAAACACCATGGATAACTGGGCATGGTGGCTCATACCTTTTATCCCAGCCCTAGGGAGGCAGAGGCAAGTGGGTCTATGTGAGTTCGAGGCCAGCCTGGCCTATGTAGCAAGTTCCGGTCAGCCAGGGCTACCTAGAAAAGACTCTCTCCGAAAAATTATGACTTCAGCCGGGCACGGTGCTAACGGCCTGTAATCTCAGCAGGGAGGCAGAGGCAGGCAGATCTGGGTGAGTTCAAGGCCAGCCTGGTCTACAAAGCAAGTCCAGGACAGCCAGGACTACACAGTGAAATCCTGTCTTGAAAAACAAAACAAAACAAAACAAAACAAAACAAAACAAAAGACTTCAATGTACAATTTTCTTTCTTTCTTTCTTTCTTTCTTTCTTTCTTTCTTTCTTTCTTTCTTCCTTCCTTCCTTCCTTCCTTTTCTTTTTTTTTTTTTTTTGGCTTTGGGTTTTCAAGACAGGTTTTCTCTGTATAGCTTTGGTTGTCCTGGAGCTCTTAAAGGTGTGTGCCAACACTGTGCAGATCAATGTACAACTGTACAATTATGGCAGTATTTCTATATCAAATTACTCCATGGTTGAATAAAGGCTGTACACGTGACTAAATAGAATGCAGCTTATTGAATGAACCCTTCTGTGGGTTAAACAGCTTCATTTCTGCTTGAATATCAGTTTTTGAAAGCAGACGATGCTTGGACAGTCAAACCTTTTGTAAGATCTTACAGCTTTGTAAAATAAGGGATAAAAGCATGACAACCTCAAATATAAGAGAAAAGCAATTCTCTTACTATCACTTATCTTTGAATAGACTTTGCAACATAATTTTAGCTACCTCTAAAGGTTAAGAAAACTGCAGGGGATTGTTGTTGTCGTCGTTGTTTGCTTGGTTGGTTTTTTTTAAAGGTTTATCTCTGTGTGCATTTGCTTTGCTCACAGGCATGCGTATATGGCCCCTGTGTGCCAGGTGCCTGAGGAACTGAAACTGGAGTTCCGGATGGTAGTGAGCCATCGTGTGGGTGCTGGGATCTCACTCGGGTCCTCTGCAAGAACAAGTGCTCTCAGCCACTGGGCTGGCCTCCAAGCCCAGGTGTGCGAACTACCGGGTCCTTGCTCCCGCCTCCTTGTGCTGAGACTGCAGAAGGGTGCCATCATGTCTACCTCAAGACATTTGTGCTTTAACTTACATTTGCAATTATATTCGTGGAAAAATTTTCTTAATGGCACAAAACAACTAAGCTTGGAAATAAATTAGTTCCTGGGGTTTTTATCAACAATTTAAACACATCTGTGTTTAGATAATTTAGATAACACCATAATGAAAAAAAAAAAAGAATTTTTCTGGCTCTGTGTATTTGAGTAACAAATATCTTAAAGAGTCTGGTGCTGAAAAAGGCTTGGAAAAGTCTGCTCTACAGGTAACTGTCTCATAATTTAAATTATTAATACAGTGGTTAATGGATCTTATCTTTCTATGGAAAGTGGGCTTCTTAGTACAATTCTTTTTGTGTTTTAAGGCTGCAGATTGGACTCAGCTTGCTAAATTTATGGTCTGTCACTAAGCTGTATCTCCAGCCCCTTGATTCTTAAGTAATTCAGCATAACAATAATCCTGCATATTAGACTACTGTACATCTACAAAAGCTATGGAAAAAGTACACAGAAATATTCCTAACTGCTTTGACTTCTACTGAGAGGAAGATTTAAGCTCTACTGTTATGTGTCTGGGTGTTGTGTCTACATGGATGCCTGTGCACCATACACATGCAAGGCCTTCAGAGGTCAGAAGAGGCTGTAGGATGCCTCAGGACTGGGGTTACAAATGGCTGTGGGCTGACAAGCAGGTTCTGGGAATCAAGCCCCCAATCTTCTGGGAAAATAACCAGTGCTCTGAACTGCTGAGCACCGCTGCGGCCCCAGGAAAAATGGTTTTGAGACAGGGTCTCAAAGTAGTCCAGGCTGGCTCTGAATCTTTGATGTTCCTGCTGAGACTGAATTTGTGTCCCTATTCCCAGTTGCCCCATTCAGGTAGAGCTGGTGACTGAACCCAAGGATTTGCACATGATAGGCAAGCACTCTACCAGGTCCCTAGCAGCTTTAAAGAAAGATTTCTACTTCTGGATTAATCATATACCATCGGGTTGGACATCTAAAACTATATTCACTGTCCACACAATACCCTCTCTCATCTTTGATGCCTGTTACATGGGGAGAGTTTAGATGCATCTCAACAATTTGGTAGCTCTCATTTGGTAGTTGAACCCCAATCTTTTCTTAGTTTGGTAGCTCTCATTTGGTAGTTTTGTTATAAAACATACAAAAATTCAAGGTTGTGTACCTCTCTGGGCTAGCAATAATGTGTTTAATTATATTCAAATACTCAGAAGCAGAATGAGCCTTCTGTTTCCTTTATTTTTCTTGCAGTGCCATGAATGCCTGGTGCCAAAGGAAGTCAGTAGAGGGCAGTGGCTTTCCTGGAACTGGAGTTACATAGATGGCTGTAAACCACCAAATTCTGGTCCTCTGCAAGAGCAACAAGTGCTCTAACCACTGAGCAATCACTCTAGCCCTCCACCTGCCATGTTTCAAAGAGAATATGTACAACATTTAAAAATTTACTTTTTAGAATGTGTACAGATGTTTTGCCTGCAGGCCAGAAGACTGAGTCAGGGTTCCTGAAACTAGAATTACAGATGTTTGTGAGCTGCTATGTAGATGTTCAAACTGAACCCCCATCTTTTCTAAGAGCAGCTAGTACTTTCAACCACTAAGACATCTCTCCAGATCTGGTATGGATTTTCTTGATATTTGTAGCTTGTTCACAGAAAATAAAGCACATTAAAAGAAAAAAGAAAAAACAAAAAACAAAAAACAGTTCACACACCAAATTCAAAGAATCTTTTTTTAAAATTTTATTTAAAAATCCACCTCAAAATTCAGTTCTGGGTTTTAGTTTTTGTTTAAAAAGAAGCACACATTTAAAAGCATCCAATGTTACTAGTCTACAATTCACCTAGCTAAGAACACAGCTTGTGGACTTAGAAAAACAGCGTAGTACACAGAGTAGGCACAGTTCTGTGGCCTATGGGCCATAAATCAGGGCACATGTGTACTGAGGCAACAGTTAAGAGGTCTGAATGGAGGGAGACAAGCCTCAGCTGTCTCAGAGACATTCTCTGTGTCCCCACCCCAAGCCATTAGTGAGCGCCAGACCAATGCATAGAGATTGTACGTAAGTTAGTGAATAATGGACGACGCTAACTGCTTCCCGAGTTAGGCAGCTAAGCCAAGACAGACAAGCGTAACTTTAGAGCCGCTAACTGATGGTCTGAACGCCCACACCAGGGATGGCCTGGTACAGGGGAGAGACTTGCACTCTCGCCTGGTGGATTCAGAGATCGGGCTGGGTGGTGTTCACGAATACAGGGTTTCACAGCACAGCAAGGCTCCAACAGTTCGAGAATTGGGGCAGTGAATACAAATCACAGTACAAAATTCTTAATTCATTTACTCATAAAAGCAACAGGTGCTACATACATGAATCACTTAAAATGACATTTTCTTTTTTTTAAAAAATGCATATATAAAACATTAATTGCATAGGGATTTAAATATAAGGCCAAGAAGAATATTAAGTAAAAAAAATCATAGGGCACTACGGTGTCAAAAGAGATAATTTCATTAATAAGAGTAATAATCTTGAATTACTGTCTAATTAATTAAAAATCACAGTATGTTGCTGTAACCGACAGTGAATGACAACTGGTTCATTAATTCTAAACCAACATTAGGATTAACAAAAATTGAACTTAAGTTCTTTGTCTAAACCTGATCAGTATATTAGCCCATCAGTGGCCTGTACGTACCTGATTAGTTATACAATCTACCTTTTGCAAATAATGTTTACTACGTGACAAGTGTTAGAACAGATCATCAATCCATGCCGTGGATGAACTGTGGGCTTAATAGTGTAACTAGAGTCAGTCTTTCAAAGGTGCAAGATCCTACCCAGCAGAACCTGCACACAATGAACACTAAACACTGTAATTAACAGAAAACAACAAAGTTCTACTATTAAAACCTAAGTATACATGAGCCAGAGAACTGGGTCTTGACGGCAGTATATACATTATCCCCGGTAGTTTTGGAAAACGACGAAGAACAAGTCCAACTATATTCTATAGCTTAAGCTAATGGTTACCACCGTAAAGGGAAAAGCGATTTGGGAACCTACTTCTCATTGTAATGGTGTTAGCCCTGTAGCTTCACTAGAATTTCCAGAATCCTTAGTACGTTATGTAGAGTAGTGTGAGGAGACAAAAAGAACTCCCAAGGGAATTCTGTTAAGGTAGATTGGGAAGACCCAAACCAAGGATTTAAATGAGAAAGTGCGTCAGTATAGTAATACTACAGTGTGTTAGCTAGGGACAGACGTTTCTCTGAGGACTAAAACACTATTTCCCCACGTTATTTACATGTTACAAACTGAATACCACACAGCACCATTCACAATCTAATTTGCTTGAACATGTCTGAGAGGTCCTTTTCTCTGCCCCTGCTTGCTTGAGGCTCCACCAAGAGAGGAGAAGCATCTTCACTTGGCGTCTATCTTTTCCACCCAGTTCTTGTTGGCTGGCAATGGTGTATCTTCATTTTACACTCTTGGTGGGTGTTTCAGATTCTGTGGACTGCCTTCCATCTGTCCAAGCTTCCCTGGTACTCTTCAGGGCGAGGGTCTTCTGTTGGTCCACTACGACATAATCCACTCTCTCGTCAGCCATGCTGCTACCCGAACCACTGCTCTTTTGCTAAACAACAACAACAAAACAAACAAACAAACAAAAAAGAAAAAAAAGAAATAGCCCCGAAGTATTATTTGTAAGGGTGGAGTGAAGCTCAAAGTTTGACACAGACATACACGCTGGGTGTGGGGTCACACATCTTTCATCCCAGCACTTGGTAGGCGTAGGTAGTAGGTGGAATACTGCATGAGTTCAAGGCCAGCCTGGTCTATGTGGAGAGTTCCAGACCACTCAGGGTTACATACTAAAACCCTGTCTCAAAAACAAGCAAGCAAGCAAGCACTCCTGGAATTACACACACAAAAATGACATTACCTCAGCTTAACTGTATTGTCTGTCTCCTCCCTAATTGATATATCTTAGTTTTATATATAGAACCATTCAAACAAATACTTCCATCACAGATGGCATTCCTAAAAAACCTAGTTCATCTAACATACAGAGCCTGAATCTCTTGGGCTCACATTTGATTTTTTCCGGCCTAGATTGGCACCAAACAGCTGTTTACTCTTTATGCTAAGAAAAGTACTTTTGGCAAAGTAATATTTGAGGGAAAGCAAACTACAAAGGGCAACGGCCAATCTTCCCTTAGCACGCAACTACACACAAGGCAACTGAAATCAAACATGGTTGTGGCGCTCTCTCTGTATTGCCCCCTAGACTGCAAGGACACGTCTAAGCTGTACAGAGCATGGTGGGGAGGGGCAGGCTTCTGCTCGGCAAAGGTAGCTGACATAAATGTGGAGGGATATAGTACAGGGGGGTGAGAAGAGGAGGTAAGGAAGGGGTGATGCCGAATCTGAGGCTTAAAGGAAGCGGATGTGGGCCCAGGGCGGGGAGTTCAACTGGAATTAGAAATGCTTTGTGGAGGAAATTCAGGTCCTCCAAATTCAACCATGAATTTGCAATAAAAATGTACGAAACACACAAGAAAGCAAGCCATAAAGAGTGTGCTAGCAGAAAGAGTAAACCCAAATTCCAGCCTCCAAGGACTTCAAATACTGAACGTATCAGCACTGTAACAAATGCGGACAGCGTTAAAGGATAAACCAGAAAAGGCAGTGAACATACAAGGAATACAAAGAGATTAATGTCAGTTAAATCAAATAGAACAGAATTTCATTCCAGAGATAAATACAACAACAAAAACAAACAAAAAAACTCAAAACCAAACAACGACAAAAAAACCAAAAACCGTCAACAACTACAAAAATTGAGAATTGGTAAATTTTGGTGATAGAGCTAAATTAAACAGAAACCGTAGGACAAAAAAAAAAAAAAATTACAAAGATGTGAAATAGTAGGTGTACTGTATTCCTAGTTGGCAGGAAATAAAAAGGTAAAAATAAGCAGAGAAGCAATAGGTAAAGTCATCCTAACAGACCTTTTGAGACTTGAGAAAAAAGTTATAAATGGGGTATGTGTGTGTGTGTGTGTGTGTGTGTGTGTGTGTGTGTGTGTGTGTATGACTAGCACAGCTTCCACAGAGCGGATTACTGAAAAGAAGACCAACTACATCTACACTTGGTCTCATGAAACTGCAAATTCAGCTGGAAACAGCTGAGGATCAGCGACCAGAAAACAGGAGGAGAGCTGACAGTGGACAAGGGTCCCTATGTGGTGAAGAGGCCCAGTCAAGAACTGGTCTCAGTGGCTCAGCTATCTGACAGTGCGGCAGCGTCCTTTCCAACATGGTGAGCAGTCTTTCTTGTCCTGTTGGAAGACAGTGTCACGTCAACGCGACTGCACTGAGCTTTTCTCTGGTACAACTAATGACATCTTATGTGAGCAGATGTCTCATTTCTTTCAAAATTAATGAAGAGACTTGAGCTACACGCAGCCTGAGAGAAGTCACTACCAACAGAACTCCATTACAGAAACTTCTACAGGACTTACTCCATAAAATACGAGCTCTGAGAGGGAGTAGTAAACGAAGGAGTAACACAAAGAAAAATGTAAGAAAACATGACTTAAAAGAACGTGGTAGGAAGAGCGACAGGGGCTGGAGAGAGGGCTCAGAGGGCAACAGTGTATACTGCTCTTGCAGAGGGCCAGAGTTTCGTTCCTAGCACTCACATCAGGTGGCTCAAAGCCACCTGTCACTCAAGCTCCTGGAAGCTAATGCCCTTTTCTGGTCTCTGAGGGATCCTATACTCACGTGCACACAGCAACAACAAAATTAAAAAAAAAAGTTATGATAAAACTGTGTAATTGGTAGGTTTAATATAAATTAAAATTTAAGACAAAACAGCACATGACATATTTTCCTTTTCTTTCTTTTTTACAGAGGGTCTCTCTATGTAGCCCTGTATTCTAGAATTCACTATGTCGACCATATTGGCCTCAAAGGCACCTGCCTCTGCCTTCTGAGTGTTGGGGTTAAAGGTGCAGGTGCCACGCTCAGCTCAGCTAATTTCTCCATTAAAGAGACAAACTCTGGAATTTGTTAAGGAATCATTTCTGCACCAACCACAGTGAGTAGAAAGTACATAACTTCCACACCTTTCGAAAGGGAAACTACAAATCTGTCAGTCTTCATAATGCTGTCGCTTACAACTTAGAAGACAACAGTCACTCAGGTCAAATAATCAGGCCCCCAGATTTCCCCAAAGAAGACGGTCCTTCAAAGTGTGGTTGAACCATCTGCCGAACACGGTCTCCCTTACCTTTCGTGGTGGTGTGGATTTCCCAGAATCTAGATCTAAGTCCAGGTATTCAACTTGTTTGTCTCCTTTGGGTTTGATCATTGGGCTGCTCCCTCCATCCAGGCTGTTACTGCCAAAGAGATTCTGAAAACACAGCAGGAAAACAGTGGACAGGCATTCAGGTAACATGCTCTTCCCTGGCCCCTCTTCTTTCCCCTGGGGAGATGGGCACGCTTGTCCAAAACTGGTGTTGAATTCCTGGGCTCTGATGTCACACTTAGTTAAACTAAGACTTGGCCTGAGGAGAGACAGGCAGTTGATGGCTGTAGGAGGCAGCAGCCATATTTCTCACAGGTGTAGGAGCCACTGGTAAGTGTCCCTTGCTCATGTCGCCTTACCCAGGCTTGTGCAAGCAACATAGCACAGACACAGACTGTGGTGGTTTGAGAGAAAATGGGCCCCATAGGCCTACAGAGAGTGGCACTGTTCAGAGGTGTGGTCTTGCTGGAGTAGTTGTGAGTTTGTTGGAGGAAGTGTGTCATTAGGGGGTGAGCTCTGAATTTTCAAAAGCTCAAGCCAGGCCTAGTGGCTCAGATAATCACTCCCTGCTGCCTGGCAATTCAGAAGTAGAACTCTCAGCTCCTTCTCCAGCACCATGTCTGCCTGCGAGCCATCATGCTTCCCACCATGCTGATAACGGGCTAAACCTCTGAACTGTAAACCAGCCCCAATTAAATGTTTGCTTTTATAAGAGTTGTTGTGGTCATGGTGTCTCTTCACAGCAACAGAAACTCTAAGACACAGCACCACACACACACACACACACAATTATGAAAAAAAGTAATAATAAAAAAAAGACACAGACATCAAGCCACAAATGGCTGCAAAAGCTCAAGCAAACATTCCTCAAACTTTATAGGTCTGAGGGTGAGGACACATTTGTAATTGTAGCACTCTGGAGGCTGACACAAGTGAATTACAAGTTCAAGGCCTTCCTGGGCTACAACTGCAACATCACATCTCAAAACGAAGCAGAAGTGTGCATGTATGTACTCAGCAACATTTTTATTCTCAGGGGATCCTCATACTCCTTGCTTTCAAGGGGGAGGGGGACGGGTTGGGAGAGAGGGAGACACATCACCAAAACATAGTACATAAAAATTTTAATAAATAAATATCCATGTTGAATTTTAAGGTATCTAGAGAAAAATAAGTTCAGAGCATGTCAACTAAAGGGCATGGGTCATGACTCCACTCTTTTCAGCCTCCTTTCTCTCAGCCTGATCCCTTTACTTCCTCAAAGGAAATGCGTGATAGAACTGCTCCCTAAGTTCAGGCAACAAAACCAGGAAGATAGAGGGTGGCACTAAAGACTAAAAACAAAAAATCTGGAGGTGGAGAAATGGAAAGAGACTTTGGTAAGAACTTTCCGATCCATGACACAGATCACAAGAATTCAGAAACGTGGATGCCCAGTTAAAATGGCTGGCACCCCCTTTTCCTAGGTTATCACCCACATTCTGCCTTGCCTGGCTGGGACAGTCTTTACAGTATTAGAAAGCTACAAAAGCGAGACATATATCTCTCACACAGTTAATTCCAGCTGCTCCTCAAGAGAATTCATCAGCACTCCTAACGGAATTCCACGTCTAATGACCAGGGGAACTGGTCTTTCTGTTCATATTGAAGCAGGACTGGAATACAGCTTCTAAAGGAAGTTCATTGGGTCTTGTACCAGTCTTGGCGGGGAATGGTCCTGTCTCTATGACAGCCTTCCACACAGTTTTGTCCCCACACATTTATAGAGAAACTCTAAGGTTCTGAGACTGACACGAAGTATTCTGCACATTAAGTAACAAAATAAAACAATAGTGCTAGGTCTTCTAAAATTCTTAAGAAATACACAAAACTGATTGATATTAACAACATTTATGGCAGTACTGTTAGACTAGGACTCAAATTTTAGGCAACCTATTAAGGACTCATATGATGAATGTGACTTGGTCTTTATAACAAGTCAGATGTGGCAAGAATCTGTCCTAACTTTTTTGAGACTATTAATTTTTTTAATACTGATTTACTAAATCTAAGCTCATGTTAGACACCATGAATTTCCATGGCTTTCCATCACCACATTGTGTTCCAAGAGTTAAGAGTTCTGATGACCCTTACTTAACAATTTAACAAAGGGTTGTGAGGGTCACTGAGTCCTGTCGGCTGGCAGCACGGAGCGCCGGAATGGGCACAGCTGACTTTTCAATTGTACCTGGCACAGTTATTTCCACTTGGGTCATTAAAAAAAATTAAGTGGCTGGACAGTGATGGCACACGCCTTTTATCCCAGCACTTGGGAGGCAGAGGCAGGTGGATCTCTGTGGGCTCCAGGCCAGCCTGGTCTATAGAACGAATTCCAGGACAGGTAGGGCTACACAGGAAAACCCTGTCTCAAAAAACAAAACAAAACAAAAACATAAAAATAAAACAAAAAGCCCAAACCAACCAACCAACCAACCAAACAACCAACCAACCAAACAAACAAACAAAAAAGCCCCCGAAAACCTAAAGAGAATGTAAGTGAATGTGTACGTGTTTGTGCGTGGCTAGGCACATGTGCAGGGGCTCACACATGGATCCCCTGGGTCCTGCTGTGACCCCACGGGAGCATCTAAAGTGGGAGCTGGGCACTGAGCTCCGGCACTCTGTAACAGCTGCCAGTGCTCCCGACAGCTAGGGCATCTCTCCAGCCCCAAAGCCTCTTGTTCTTATTTGGGTTTTTCAAAAATTCAACAGCTCAAGTTTATTTGGACATATCAGGAAGCCCTTTGGCACTTTTACTTTCCTGCCTTAATGTCAGAAGGCACACGGAATTCTTAATTTTATTTCCTCAGTTTGACTTTGGATTGTAATATTTGTCTTTCTTCCTCCCTTTTGCCTAACTGAAAGATTATCAGGGTCCTTCTGCACGACAATGCTTACAGAAGCCTGTCACAGCCTGGCCAGAAGGATTCATTGCAAACCCCCCAGTGGATTTTCTAAAACTAAAAACAAAAACAGAGAATGACTTAACTGAAATACTGCTGAGAACCAACTATAAATCCCTCAGAGCAGGGATGTAAACGGCCCTTCAAGGGCCATGGTGGGAGGGTCTGCCCTTCACAACAGCACTCTGAATTCTTTAAGAGGTGGGGTCTTACCGCACCTCACTGCAGACCTGAAGAGGGTGTGACAAGACTTGGGCTCCTCTTCTCACCTCACCACGGGTCATGAGAGCACTAACCACAGCCACAAGTCACCACGGGCTGAGGCAACAAGTGGGCACTCACAGACACTCCTAACAGACACTCCAAGTCAAATAAACCTCTTTCTAAGCCGACTGTCTCAGGAATGTTCCAGCTCCAGGGAGCTGGAGCAAAAACCTTCGTGTTTTTCAGTGATTTAACCACCGTATCGACAGAACAGTTTGACCGTGGCTGGCATGAGACTGCCACAGTACTTAAAAAGTAAAACCACCTGAAGAATAGGCTTCGCTTTTTCAAGTTGGAAGAACGCTGTGATAACCAACGGGTAAGGACGGTAGGGGCATTTTTAAGCTGAACTGGTTTCAACCAGCAGCTCGGGCAGGGAGACGTGAACCCGGGGACTGCTGCTTACCGTATCTTCGTTGGACAGGTTCGGGTTCATGGGGACGTAGTTCTCCTCGCTGTCATGAGAGTCGCTGCTTGATGTGGTACTGTGCACGGAATCAGGCCGGGGGGATATGGGAAACCTGGAGGAGCTGACGGAAGACGCGCCCGTTAGGAATGTCCGGGGACAGGTGTCAAATCACTCCCGAACAAAAACAAGTGATCACCTTCTCTTTCTGGAATACCCACTAGTTTCTAGTTACATACTGGATATCTGTATTACAACAAATGGCGACAGTTCTGATCTGCGGAACCTTGAAAAGGGGCTTCTCTAGTCTGTTGTTTGGCCTAGTTCCCTCGAAATGAGCAGTTTTAACTGTCTCACTAGCCTAACTCCGTGTTCTCATGGGAACACTTACTCGCGTGCGAAGCTCCTGGTGATGGGAGACCGGACCGGGGCTTGCAGCTCCTCCCACTCAGACAGAGGCTTGATTTCTAAGGGAGCAGGCTTGGCTGAAAATACAGGGAAGAGGAGGTGTCAGTGAACACAACTTCGAAAACAAGCAAGAACCTCCCATGTCACAATCCATACTTGGTGGGCAGACATTGTCTTACACAGACAGAGTGACAGAGGGCAGTGCTCAATGACAAAGCTCAAACAGTGAGGCTGCAGGACGTCAGCCCAGGGCCGAGCCCTCCTACTCTACAGTGCGTCTTAACCTAAGTGCTCGTCTTGCAGATATAAATTACAGGAGAGTGTAAATGTGCATTCCTTTAAGGTTGCTGGGCACTGTTCTTATTGATCCATTGTTTCATGAATTTCATCTTTGGGGGGAATTTGATCATCTGTGGAAAACATGCTCCCCACTACTGAGGCCTAAGTAAAGTTTTACTCATGTAAAACGACGTGTACAGAGCACTGGAAACTTTGCCACATCTCAATCCATAAGAATTACCAAAAAAATTTCCCAGGTTTCCTTACTTTTGGTTCAAAAATACGTAATCTTAATCAACTATCTTATGAGTACCATGAGAGCACAAAGCAGTCGTGTCGAAGCTACAGCTCACAGAGGCTCATGGCTGAGCCATAATGAAGACTTCATATTGAATCAGTTAAGAGTTTCATCGAGCTGACCCTTAAAGTAGACACATGCAATCATCCTGGGCTGAATGAAGGTGATTTTTCTCCATGCCCTTCTTTTTAAACATAAACAGGTGAATAAGACTTCAGATGTCAATTTCTAAGTCATGCCATAGTCAAAACATGGAAATTATTTTTTATTCTGCTTCGGAACAGAAGACATATACATATGCAAAGACAGGAGACACCTGGGGCTCGCAGCAGCCCACTAGAGAAGCAGAACTCTGTGCTACCAGGAGAGTGAAGGGGATGGTGCAGAGGGAGCTGACCGCGGTGGACAGGTGGTCAGGTATGCCCTGCGCTGCAGCCACTCTCTGCGCTCAGGCCCCTGTGCACCGCCTCATGGATTCTCCTTAGAAAGACCACACCAGAAAGCAGTCTGCAATAGCAGTCCTACTTAAGCTCTCCTTTTGTCTTTCTTTTTTTCTTTAGAAAAAAAAAAAAAAAAGTATGAAAGTAAATAGAAATCCCAATGCACCCTTTCTTCTTGTAGCAAAGTCACCTATGGTTTGTGAATCAGTTCGCTCTAAACCATGGGGTTTGGGTCTTAAAATTTTAGGACTCTGACCTAATTGGTAAAAAGAAGACTCTCTTATTACAATGTTATTTTTTAATTGGAAAATGGATTCTGTTAAAAAAAAAAAAAGGAAACATGCAGAAATGGGACATATTAAAAGCACAGACAAAAATGTGTTAGTGAAAAGCATTCCAGTGCCGCAGACAAGATTCACGCTGAGAACCACGAAATGAAGGAGGGCATGCTGTGGGTACAGTGACAGGCACAGGGAGCGAGAGTGGACGCTGAGGGGCACAGCCAGCTTTCTTTTCTCAAGGAAAAGAAGGAAAAACAAGTGCCATGTTAGTGTTTCTTTCTAACATGTCTTAGAAAACTAGTCAATGAAAGACCTAAATGAACAGGACAAGCAGGCTTCCCTTGGCTTCCCGCTGCTCAAGAATGCAGCCCTCACTTAGATTCCTCTACAGAGGAGCCAGGTGGCTCATCTTTTGGAGTTCAGTGTTAGGTTCTCCAGGTCGGCTTGAGATCTTACAGCCCTGTGTTCCAGGGTCCCTCAACTCAAGTCAAGCAGAAAGGTGTTATTACTGTTCATGGGTGAGGAGCGGCTACTGCTTTTAGCACGTGGCTTGGACATGAGCTATGGAACACCACAGAACCCTGGCACATGGAATGTCTATATGGAACCATCGCAAACTGTTCAAGTTACCTTTAGTCTGCTGTTACCCCGCTGGCTGTCCTACATGCTCTTTCAGAAGGGCCCACTATGGCATTCCTTTCCTCCTGACTTTTTCTCCTTAGTACTCTCCAAATCTTCACTTGTTGAGACAGGGTCTCCCTACACAGCCCTGGAACCCGATCTGTGGACAATGCTGGCCATGGACTCAGTGACCCCCTGCTTCTACTTCCTCAGTGCTGGGGTTAATTAAAGGCATGAGCTACTCTGCCAGGCTGTACTCTCCAAATCTTTTGCCCGTGTTTGTGTTTAAGTAATGGCTGCTGCTTTGCTGTGATTCCTCACATTTATTTAGCTCCACGTTTGAGCAGTCTGCAGTTGTCACCCAGCACATCACAGATCGGCACTTAGAACCAGCAGAGGGTTCTCAGTTCAGTCCTCAGAGTGGCACAGGCAGGGTCTGGCTCCTGTGAGCCGCTGCGGCAACTCAACTTTAAAGGACAGACACTAAAATAGAGGAAGCAGGTCATCCAGTAGGACGAGAGCCTGTGTGAGGATAGGCCTGGGGAAAAACTGAGGCTTGCTCTGTGTGTGTGTGTGTGTGTGTGTGTGTGTGTGTGTGTGTGTGTGAGAGAGAGAGAGAGAGAGAGAGAGAGAGAGAGAGAGACCTGTCTTTAATCCCAGCAATTGGGAGACAGAGACAGGCAGATCTCTATGAGTTCAAGGCCACCCTGGTCTACAAAGTGAGTTCCAGGACAGCCAGGCTACAGAGAGAAATCCTGTCTCAAAACCAAACCAAACCAAACCAAACCAAACCAACCAACAAACAAAAAACCCCAAAGATGAGGCTGGGGTATCCACAGACAAATCGTGAATCAGAATCATCCAGGATCTGGTAACAGAGTCCTAACCATCTTAAAAATCTCCCAATGCCTTGTGTTGGTCTTGTTAAGTGTTTAGGTAACTAGGAAATGACTGTTTTAATAGGTTTGTTTTGCTGTATTTTTTTTTTTCTCTCATAGATTCTTCTCTAGCTAGGAGAAAAATCTCCAAATTGAAAGGCAGAACACAAAGAGGCACCCGTGGCCTCCTGTGTAAGACATTACAATGTCCAGTTATTTTCAGTGAATTACACCAGGCATGAGGTGAGTAGATGGGGGTCCTGATGGAAATAGCAGGTCATGAGAGCATACTGCAGATGCCCTTCTCATCATTCTTTTCATGAAGTGTGTTCTCCACTGGCCAGGCTGCTCCCTGCTGTTTCTCACACACAACCCTAACGTTTCAGTCCTTTCTTCCATGCTGTAGCCATCACGACCCATCACGGCTTCATGAATCACTGTCTGTCCTCTCCACACAAAACTCACGAAATTACATTTTGTAAGACTGCCTTGATATACACCCTGGCCCTTAATCACCACCAGCGAACACGCGCTGAGGACTTCTGAGAGCCAGCTACTGTCTGACTCACCCAAACCTCTCCACACTCTTGAATGAAGGTATGACCAGACCAAATATTCAAGTTGTCACTGAGAACTGAGGGGCTGCTAAGAGTCTCAAGGATGGAGATGGTCCTAACAGAGTTAGAATCTTCTGAGTCTAGGTCGAGGGTTCACTTTCCTATCTCCGTGTAATTCCTGCCTGGAACTCTTATCATGGCAACCCTACTTGCACAGTGGGTTTTCTCAACTGCATGTGAAGTATTACATAGATACTGCCTCCACAATTAGGGTAACTCTTGTTGGTTTTTATTCCAGCTCCTGTGTCCTGACGAAAACCCACCATCAATGAGCTCCAGGCAGAAACAACCTCTGTGCAGCTCCACTATTCCAAGGACTAAGAAGACCTGGCTTTGGGAAACTGGGAAAAATACTCACTAAGGGAGATGATGAACAAGAGTGATTTTTGTACCATTTTATATCAAAGTGTAATTATTTTAAATCAGAACGAGACATCTAGTGTGCCAGCTGATGGTGTCTGTGTAAAGCCCTTCTACAGAGTGTGCAGAATGAAGCCCAACCTCTTTAGCCTGGATCAGAGCATCCGCTCAGGATGACATTCCTGCTCCCTTTCCCATGCTGTCCTTCTTCCTGGCTGTGCCCACCCACCGTGACTCTGAGCATCTCTCTGTTGGCACAGATCTTACTGCTGTTTACTGTACCTAGCTCCACACCCAGCACTGGCCCCTCTCCTTCCCACCAGCCCCTGCCTTCCACTCCCTTTATCAGGTTTGGCTTAGGGGACTGTCTGTAGAGTGCCAAGAGCTAACCTCAGCGGCCTTGCCCAGGCTTTCATGCCATGTTTATCTTTCTACCTCCTCTGCCACACTGATGATGAGCTTCTTAGGGAAGCAACCTTGTCTTTCCTTGGGTCTACAGACTCCATGCCTAGGATTTCCTGAGGGAAAGCCCGTAGCTTTATGAAAAACAAACCTCATACCCTTTATACTGAAGGGTTTCAGAAGGTTATCACATGAGGGTTCCATTTCCAACACACAGGTGCAATCTTTATTGAAAAGCCCTGACTAATGGGTAATGCCTACATAAACTCAGTGCTACACAAGAACGTTTTGAATTAGCTCATAATAATGCAGCCCGCTCTTTTTTTAAAGTTACACTATTATTTCCAATGGGCACCCAAAATCAAGGCTTAAAAACGTATCTCACAAGGTTACTATCTTGGCTAATTTCTGCAGGTAACTGAGGCAAAGTTGTGAAAAACCAAAACCAAAACCAAACCATTTATACTTGTTTTTAACAGTTTCTGTGTAAGGAGGAATATAATAATGTAATAATAGTAATTATTACACAAGGGAAACTGTCTCAGGCTGGTAAGAACATATTCCATACTAATTTCTTTTAAGCCATAACAAGTGTTATCTACCATCTGATGTCGGAATTAAACATTAGCTCCTGTGTATTAAGATGTAGTTGGGGAGGTGGTCAGGGCTTAGGAGCACTGGCTGCTTTTGCTGAGGGCTTGAGTTTGATTCTTGGCACCTGCATGGGGGCTCACAACTGCTTGTCTTCAGTGGATCTGATGCCTGAGATTTGACACCCTCTTTTGGCTTCCTCAGTCATTAGGTGCATGTAAAATTAGTTAAGGTACTAGTATCATTCATCCAGTCTTTCAGTATTTATTATCTTCTGAATACAGTTTTAAAGAAAGCATGTTAATTTTCAATCCTACTTGAAAGCTTCCTCAAGGACTCACTTTTTAAAAGAGTTAGAATAAAGCCTCTTTACAAATAGACATGGCTGAGCAAGACAACACAGCCACTGCTTCATTTGCAAGCCCAACGTCTAGAGCCACAGGAAAGAAGGAAGTGGCAGAGTGTAGCAGAGCCAGTGACTCAACAAGGGCCTCTTGTGCCACGGCTTACTTTTACTGACACACAAAAGATATTTTATAACAGTTTCCCAAAGTTCATAAAATTCTATTTCCATTAGAAATACAAAGGCTTGCTGGGTGTGGTGGCTCATGCCTTTAATCCCAGCACTCAGGGTGGCAGAGGCCAGCAGATCTCTGTGAGTTCGAGGCCAGCCTGGTCTACAAAGTAAGTCCGGGACAGCTAAGGCTACACAGAGAAACCCTGTTTTAAGAAAAAAAAAAAAAAAAAAAAAAAACCTTTAAAAGAAATACAAAGGTTTTACAGCTGCCCAGACTGTTCTGCTCTGTGCTTCCAGAGACCTGCTTTTCTGGTATCTCTTACAACATGCTTAAATGCCCCTTATTAAATACATGCACAGCGTGGCTCAGAACAAACACGACAGGGCTAGTACAGTGAACACTGGGCTGTCACTAAATTCATGACAGCAAAGAGCCCCAGCCACACATCAGATGTCTGGCATTCACCTCTGTTATTCTGCAACTTCAATTAGCAGGAAGCATTTGAAAGACTGTCTAGCATTACTCACTCTGACAGCTGATGCCTAAAACAGGGGCAAAAACAAGACTAGACTGCCACTTGTTTGCCACAGACTCTTCCAAAGAAAGCAATTGCAAAAACAAACTAACAAAACCAAACCAAACAAAACCACCCAGTTGCTTGAGGCTCTGACAGGAATCAAGCACACCTGACCAAATCAGATTTCCTTATGGATTAGTTAATAGGGGACACTGAAATGACAGTTCCAAGTAATTTATCTGGTGCTAGAAGACTCATCTCTCGGATGCTGTGAACAGTGGGAAGACCATCATGGCCAATGAGACACATGCTCCCAGTTCACCTACTCAAGGACAAACTTAGTCATGAGACTGTAATTTTAACTTTTATTTTGTCTTTTTAGTGTTTTGAGACAAGGTCCCACTGTGTAGCCGGGCTGGCTTGGTTCTCCCTGTCTCTGCCTCTGGGGTGCTGGACCCATCTGGCTGGAACCTGGGTTTTAAAGTGTGCTTTTTCTGAACAGTTATACTTTCCTTGGGTGAACTAACAAAGTATTCCTCCTCTCAGGCAGCCTACTGATTAAAATTAAAGATACAAAAGTACTGAAGAAGAGTAAAAGGCCCTTTTACCAATACTATGATTTCAATAGCCTCTTTTAACAATCTGCCAAAACTGTCCTTGAGGCTGTACCTTGGATGCTCTTTCTCAGCTCATCATGTATCTAAGCAAACACAATCAATACATAATCTGACCAACAAACCATGGTGTGGTGCTGGGGGTGGGGCTCAGAGCCTTGCACACACTAGTTACACACCTGGCTCCCTCCTTTTTCAAGTTTCATTAAATTTTAGAAGAATAAGTCTCTAAAAAGTAATCCAAACTTAACTTATTCTGCTCTATGAAACATAATGTGCTGATTTAATGTTTTAAGAAGGATTTCAACGCTTTGTGTCTATAAGGCACGTACTGAATCACGTCAGTGACCTGGACCAATCAAAGGTCTCTTCATGTTCACTTACACTTTATGCCAAGAAGAAAACAATTAGTGAGGTTTCTAATTGAGTTAGAGACAAAAATCAAAGAAAAGGGACAAAAAGCCTGTGGCACTCACAGCCTTTCTAAGACAATTACAGATCATGGCCAGGAAGGATGGGTGGCTGGCTGGGAGGCTACAGCTGCTACACAGGAGCACGGGCCTCATACATGTGTGAAACCAACAGCAGCCAGGCTACCCAGCCAGGTGTGAGAAGGCAGCCTGGACCACTCCAATGATCTCTTAGAATCTGTAAATAATGGGGGAGATGTTGACAGGGCAAGGGTGCAGAAGGGATCTGGGTGGGAAAACTGAGGCCACAGAGAGGGACTGCAGGCCAAAGGGAGCAGAAAGCAGAACCCAGTCAAGGTGAAGAAGCAGGGAGGAAAGGAGAAAAGAAAGGGAAAGAACAGAGCGGATGCAGAGATGCCCCACAAGACAAGTGCACAGGGTTAAGACTGCGGACTACTGTCCGGGTACAGCAGAAAAACATCCTTCCTTACGTAAGAATAAAGCCAAACTTTTTAGTTTGAAACAGTCTTAGTCTCAGGCTCAGCTCCCCACAGCAACAACATAGTTAGTGCTAATGATCCTGCCTCTGCCTACCCCATACTGGGATGAAAAACGTGGGCCACAATGCCTGGCTTGAACCCAAGTTTTTAAAACTTGAGGAGACATTACCCAAAGCTCCCTCTGAAATACGAGGACCAGGTCTCACAAGCTCCCATGCTTCGGAACTGAAGAAGCTTAGACGGAACCAACCCAGAATTTTGTTTTGTTATTTAAAGTTATGATGTGATGAAAGAGAACAATTTTGCAGACACCTTCACTATTCTTCAATAATCACACCAACGGCATAATAACCCTGAATCTAATTTGATAGTATACAAAATAGCAAGGGAAGGTCATTGCTAGTGTTAGGTTTGGTTTGCAATACTTTAAAAAGCAAAGAGCTGGCAGAAATCAACAACAACAAAACCAATCAAGAGAATGATACGCATAAAACCCAAGATTTCAGTTTTCTCTTGACATGTGTGTCACACATTAGCACGGGGATAGCCAGGCGGGGGCCAGGAGCTCCACCTACATCCTTCAGGAGAATATTCGAGATTCTCTTAGCGCTTGACTGATGCTGCCGCTGCTCTGAGTATGGTAAGCTCTATTCTAGATTGAGGAGACCTGGGAATCCCACCCGGACATGAACACATCCATTTACAAGTAGCAGGATTTCTGTACAGAAGGGCCCAGGTTATACGAAGTGTTTCAGAGAAGTCCCACACCGGTTCCATGTTTAGGAGCGGTCAAATGCAGCCTCACTGCGCCCTCCCGAGTCCTTACTTGCCACAGCCGCCTCACCTTTTCTGTCTGGCTTCAGGTTCCTGTCCACCGGGGGCGGCTCACAGTCTGCAGCAGGAACCGGCCTCCTGGGAGGGGTCTTTGGGCTGGACCTGAAGCCCATATGAGCAGGAGGTGGCACTTGCATCCCAAACGAAGAGAAGTCAAATGTCCCAGGGGTCATGGGCACGTAATTTGGTTCCTGAATTGGTTCTGTAAAGCTGCTGGAATGTTGTCGTGGTGGTGAGTTGGGATTCATGGGGACGTAGTTTTCATCCAGTTCTTCGCCTGAGACACTTCCCACTGTCAACACATTTTTGATTTTCTAAAACACACATACATTTCTCTTAATAAGCAAAGCCACTGTCACACACGAAGACACAATTATCACATCTGTTCATACAGGATCTGTAGTTAGTTTCATTTCATGTTCCCATTTAGAATCTAGGGGTGCTAAGTATGAAGAGTCAGAAAATGCCAAAGTCAGTGGTCAGTTATACTTACAAACTGGTTATGGAAGCCTTCCAGTGAACTAGATCTATCGCTCGGAAAGGTTCGTGGAATATCATAGCAATCTTGAGAACTAGCATCTGGAATTAACAAACAAAAACAAAAAAACCAAACCTGTCAGTGTTTGCTCCCATCTTGCCAGCTGGCAGGTGCTCTATGGTCTCTTATATACTTGTCCAAGCACACACATTCTTCAACCTTGAAAGGATACTCATCAAACAGCGTCTCTAGTTGGTACATTAAACACACATATGCTTATCGATATCATGATTTGACTACGACAGCAATCGAATGTCCAAGCCTGGCATAAGAAGAGTTATCGAAGAGAAATGGTGCCCATTTTGAGCCACCGTGAGTCTAACATTTCACTAACTTACACTAGGTTATGTAGCCTCCTTGCAAGAGAGTTAGAAGGCTATGTGTGGTAGGCCATACCTACAATCCCAGCACCCAGGAGTTAGAGACAGGAGATCAGAAGTTCAAGGTCATTCTCAGGTACACAGTGAGATGGGGCTACCTGAGCTCCTGTGGAAGGAAGGAGGGGAGGGGAGGGGAGAATGACAAGGAGGGAGGGAGGAAAAGGAGAATGAAAAGCAGGCAGGGAGGGAGGAAAAGGAAGAATGACATAGAAGAGAGAATGAGCAAAAAAATTTCAAATATGCATTAGAGGGTTGAAGATATACTGTTAAAATATTTTTATGGCATAGTAACTCTTTGCCTTTTGCAACAGCTAGAAAATAATACCACAAAATACAGAAACACTAACATACAGACTTTAGGGCACGCACACTTAATTTTTTTGTTTTTTAATTTTAAGACTTTAAAAGTCTTAGAGAATCATGATACCAGCATAAGAACAGACACATAGACCAGTGGACTGAAGAGAAGACCTGGGTATAAATTCAGGGAGCTGCAGCTACCAGAAGTTTTTCACAAAGATGCCAAAGACACACTCTGGAAAAAACATGGCCCCTTCAGCAAGAAGTGCTGGGAAAACGGGTATTCACCTGAACAGTAACTATTTCCCAGTAGCTCATCCAGCAAAAATCAACTCCAAGTGGATCTAAGACCTGAAACTCTGAGTTTACTGTTGGAGAAAGAAGAGAAAATACTGCTGATATGTGCATAGGCAAAGGACAGTCTGAATAGGACCTCAGCTACCTAGTACATGGAGCCAACAGTTGATAAAGGAGACCTCGGGAGATTAAAACAACTTCTGTACAGCCAAGGGAGCAGGAAATCAAATGAAGGAACAACCTACAGAATGGAAGAAAATATTCGCCAGCTCTCCACCCAACAGACAACAAGAATGAACTCAAAAACAAAATAAAAACAAAAACAAAAAACTAAACAATAAATTAAGCTACTTAGTCAAGTAGCTTAATTAATAAATGGGCTAATTAAAGGAGTATACAGTCCTCAAAGGGTGGAATACAAATGACCATTAACTCAGAAAAAACTATTTAACCTCATTAGCTGTCAGAGAACTGCAAATTAAAACTACATTGAGATTCCTCATTACCGGAGTCAGAATGTTGGTCACCACCCCCCACAACACCCCAAAACAAAAAAAACAACTCACCAAAAAAACAAAAAGCAAAAAACAAAACAAAACAAAAAAACAGACAACTAACAAGTGCTGGCAAGGATGTGGAAAATAGGTCCTTCAGACATTGCTGGTGGGGATGTAAACTAAACCAGCTATGGTGCAAGTCAGTATGGAGGTTTCCTAAAACAATTGATAAATAAATAAGTAAAAATACATCCATCATGTGATCCAACTATGCACCTCTCTTGAATACCTCAGTGATGGATTACAGACTTGCTGCACTATGCATAATAGCTGAGCCTCGCAGCCAACAGTGTCCAACGCAGAAGAACAGGAAGGAACGTGTGGTCTACCCAATGGGACTCTTTTTTTGGCCACAAAGACATGAATTTGGGCTGGCCGGATGGCTAAGTAAATGAAGGCACTCGCTGCTCAGTCTGAGTTTGTTCTCCGGGACGCACGTGGAGGAAGGAGAGAACCGACTCTTGACTGTCGTTCTCTGGCCCTTTACACAAAATAAATGAGTAAGTAAAGGTGACAAACAAAACAAAGAGTGAAGTCATGTCATTTGCAAGAAGGATGGAACCTGGAATAATTATATGAGGAGAATGAAGAGAATCTCAGAAAAACGTATATCATGTTTTATGGTTACTAGATTTTATACTGACACACAAAATCCTATGTAGCATGAAAGTAGACACAAAACTCTCTAGGAGGGCAAGAGAACTAACAGGAAGAGGGGTGGGAAGGGAAGGAAGGGGGAGAGGAGGACAATATTCTCAACACAATATTTACACGGTACAAAAACTTAAGAATCTTAGACTATTAAGCTAGATCTATTCCACACTCCCAAGGTCTTTGTCTTGTGTCTCAGGCTTTATGAGGTGGAATAAGACAAGTACCCACTGTCAGCTAGGTTGAAAAGAGAGAGGAGCGACTCAGTGCTCTAAAAACTGACAAAAAAAAAAAAAAAGGAAGAGCATAATAATGGCTTGATTTGAACAGCATCATTACCTATTCAGACACAAATAAAAACTGCAGACAGAGGAAGGGAGCGGAAACACAATAAGAGCCATGACACAGAAGCGGTCACGGTCACGACACACAGAAAAAGGCAAGGACATGGCCAGGCGTGTTCAGACAGCCTACCTCCACAGGGGTCCTGGGAAGAAGGAGAGAAGTGAGGTAGGAAACCATAAAGCCATACTTTTTCAGCCATGATATAATCCAACCCTTTTTCTTCTAACTGAGCAGGCTCGCAGACACACATGCACGCAGACAGACAGACAGACAGACACACACCCACACCCACACCCCCTTCAGTGATGTCCTTACTGAGAGCGTGGCAACACATGTGGGAGCCACAGAAGTGCAGAAGAAAAGGCATAAATAGCCTTAACCACGAGAACATACTGAAAAGAATTATTGTGAAAAATGCATTTTCTTAGCAGACACTGAGACTTATGGCTAACGGTTGGGCAGAGTGCATGGAATCTTATGTAAGAAGTGGGAAATAGTAAGAGCTGGAGAGGACAGGAACCCCACAAGGAGAGCAACAGAACCAGGAAATTTGAACACAGGGGTCTTTCCTGAGACTCATACTCCAACCAAGGACTATGCATGGAGATAACCTAGAACCCCTGCACAGATGTAGCCCATGGCAGTTTAGTGTCTAAGTGGGTTCCATAGTAATGGGAAGAGGGACTGCCTCTGACATAATCTGATTGGCCTGCTCTTTGATCACCTCCCCGTGAGGGGGGAGCAGCCTTACCAGGCCACAGAAGATGACAATGCAGCCACTTTTGATGAGAACTGATAGACTAAGATCAGAAGGAAGGAGAGGAGGACCTCCCCTATCAGTGGACTTGAGGAGGGGCATGCATGCAGAAAGGGGACGAGGGGTGGGACCGGGAGGGGAGGAAGGAGGGGCTTATGGGGGGATACAAAGTGAATAAAGTGCCATTAATAAAATAAAATTATTTTTTTGCGCGTGTGCGTATGTGTCTGAACGAAGGTGGTATCTGTGGGCTTATCTGCCTGTGTGGCTTCACAGAGAATGGAGACCAGAGGAGGATGTCAGGAGTTCTCCTGCATCACTCTTTACCTTATTCTCCTGACAGGACTTTCTCAATCGGAGCTAGTACAGAACCAGTAATCCTCCTCTGCCCCATGCAAACATGAAAGGGTGCTAGGATTTGAGCATAGGTCTTTATGCTTGGGCAGTAAAGGCTTGCAGCCAGCAAGCCACTTCTCTCAGGAAAAACAGGCTTCCTACGACTGACCCCTCACAGAGTAGAACCTGTCAGAGTAGAAACCTGACCTTTCCGCAACTTGTTCAAATCCACGGTGGAAACGGTGTTACTCCGGGAAGGCAGCATGCCTGCCGTTGGGATACAGTAACTGCTGTCGGTGTCTGAGGCTGCCCTCGGGATGCCGCACGCTTCCACAGGAGACCGGTCGTGAGTCAGATGCGGCTTTGGTGGCCGGGGTGGGGGTATGTCAGGAATGGGGTCCAGCTTTGATGACTGTCCCAATGTGCCTTCTGGAAATGTCCGTGGGATCTGGTAAGTGTTCCCAGGTGTTGGCGGAATGTCGTAGCTAAGAGATATGTGTCTCATCTGAGTCTCCACGCTGGAAGTCCCAGATGGGGTGTTAAAAACATAAAGCTCTCCATCCGCCTCGGTACTGGACGGAGACTCCTTTGGCAGCACGTCGTGGGAATAACTCCTGGGCAGGTTATAGAGGCTGGAGTCTACAGAGACAGAGGCAGCCCGGGGTGGCAGGCAGTCATACGTCATCTGCTGCTGAAAGAAGCCATTCACTCCATGTTTGCTCTGGGAGGACACGGGAGTCTTATGGGAAGGGACGTTGTCATTGCAGTCTGTCTCAGAGGAGGTGGGCTTTGCAGAGTCAGCATGGCTTCTGAGGGAAACCGTGAAGGACAAAAATAAAACACGGTCACGGCAGAGACATGCAGTTTTGACACACAGCACTATAGCGCAGTAATCCAAACGTTTTTTTCTGTTAGAGTGTGTGTGTGTGTGTGTGTGTGTGTGTGTGTGTGTGTGTGCATGATCCACTAAGATTCAAAAAGCACAAACGTTCTTTAGTTGTTTATAATTATAAACCAACAAAAACACCACCCACCAAACTTCTAGAAGCATTCTTGGTAATTTCTGTCCTCTAAGCCACACATACACCCCCTACACCCCCCCCCCATACCTCCCCCCCATCACATGCACACTAATAAGCAAATATTATCGGGAGCCTTGATACTCTGAGGTTGTCTTTGGCCTTACGTTCAGTCCCATAGCCTCTAGGAATCTATAGGTTTTTCTCTAATTAGGTGAATAATATAAAAACCATGTTTTGAAAATACTAGTCTTAGCTCAAGTGAGCGGACTGGAATAAGGGGACGGAAGGAAAGCCCACCTAGGAGGTTCTGTGCCGAGGATGTCAAAGAGATCTGCCTGAGCCTGACGTAAAGAGTGCGAACAGATCAAGACAGATAAACGAGTGGGAGGGAGGAAGGACTCCGACTCGGTGTCTGACTGAAAGTTTTGGAGTCCAAGCTTCGTGGATACTGAAGCTAGAGAGTCTGGGTAATGTTCCTCTGTCCATGCAAGCTGAGAAAGGAGTCTTTCTTCTCTCTCTCTCTCTCCTTCCTTCCTTCCTTCTTTTGGTTTTTTGAGATAGGATTTCCCTGTGTAGCCTTGGCTGTCCTGGGCTCACTCTGTAGACCAGGCTGGCCCGAGGTCACAGAGATCCGCCTGCCTCTGCCTGAGTGCTGGGATCACAGGCGTGTGTCACTGCACCCGGCTGGACAGCTAGTTTCTAAAAGAAACAGAATTTGCTCTTGGACACAATGAGCAGCACAACAATATTATAGAAGATACAGATAACCAAGTAGAAATAGGACTTTGAAATAGGAGGCTGAGAGTTGGAAGAGCGAGAGCTGTCAACATTCCCTGAAGGTGGAAGAGAAAGGGTTCTCCAACGCAGTGTGTGCAGCTTTGGTGGCCATGTCTCCATAGAGAATGAGGACGGTATCAGCTCCCGAACAAAGACAATGGGTAGCAGAGCAGGGAGAAGGGAAGCAGCATAGTGTGAGTTCTCTGCCCCAAAGTGGGAGAGGTCCCAGGGGCACGTGTTAACAACAGAGCCAGGTGTTACGAAGAAATCTACAGGGCTGGAGAGACAGCTCAGTGGCCAAGCGCTCTCGAAGAGGACCTGGGTTCAGTTCCCAGCACACACTCAGGCAGCTCCCAGGCCCCTGTAGCTCCAGCTCCGGCGTTCGGATGCCTCTGTAGACTCCTGGATACCTGCTTACGTGCACACACCTACACGCAGACACACGCGTGTATTGTAAAAACAGTAAAAATAAACAGTTTTGCAGATACTAAAAATATACCCACAGCAGGCTGGGCCTCAAGGGAGACCTCTTAAGCCTGCTGAGAGTGAGCTAACCCCTTGTCATGTTTTGCTCCTCTTAATAACATGTGCTGAATTGTCTGTCAGAGAGAGGAGGGAAGACGCGAGCCACCTGCTGTCTCCTCAGATGTCCTCTGCACTTCCCACCCAGCAGAGTTTGTCAAAGCTGGTTAGAGAGTGACAGATGAACTTTATAAACTGGACTGGTGCCAACGTTTTCCATGTTCTTAGTGGAAAATGCTCTCTCTGAGTCTGTTCAGGGTCTGATCAGTGCTGTGAGGATTGTGGTGTGTGTGTGTGTGTGTGTGTGTGTGTGTGTGTGTAGCAGGGGCTGTGGACAACTATGAAGAGTCATTTCTCTTTTACCACCTTCACATGGTTCTGAGAATTGAACTCAATGTTGTCCAGCTTGTATGCTTACTGATCCTCTTTGTTTGTTTTTTCATCTTAAAAACAATACTCAAACTATCCTTGTAGAATTTCTAAAGTACCCATACATGCTCTACAATATGCATTTAATTTAGTCTCCATGCAGTTGGAGGTATGAGTCATACAGAAGGCTTCTGGCTCCCACTAACTTATACTCTAATGGTGGGTAAGGAAAACTACTGTGTTATTTCCAATACTACAATAAGATAGAGATTTGGGCATTTTATACCCAAAGAGGGCTGGCAAAATGGGAACAGACCTCTACTACCAAGCCTGAGTATGGTTCCTGGAACACATTGGAAGGAGAAAAACAACCATTTTACAAGCTTCTTCTGGTGTCTAGACATGCACTGTGGTATGGGTGAACACACACACACACACACACACACACACACACACACACACACACACAAACTAATGTTAAAACACAGTAACAAAACTCCACCAACCCAGAGGGACATTTCAATCTGAGAGCCCGGAGACAGGCTTCCTGGAGCATGTGTATGAGCTGAGTCCTGGGAGAAAAAAGGGTGGGCAAGGGGGGGCAACTTCCACCTATGTCCGCAGGAATAAATATTTCATGCTCATATCCCCTGGCTTCTTCAGAAAATTAACCTGAGAGCTCCCAGGGTGAGTGCACCTCGGAGGACCGTGTCCTATCTAATCCGTTTGTGTCGTCACGGCACCCAGCCTCCTGGTGGGCGTGTGGCGGGCGCATCATAGATGCTGCATTGGCAAAGTATCTACCCAGCAATTCGGAGAAGTTTCCCCTGTAGCAGCGGTGAAGCTGTACCGGCGAGATCAATGAAAGGCACCGTTGTAAAAAGAAAACACATCACTGTCACTGATAGTTGGCTTCTTAACACAAAACAAAAAACAACCAAAAAAAAAAAAAACCACATCAGGAAGTAACAGGGAGTCTCCATAACGTGAAGAATCAGTTAGTTGCACAGAGAAAAAGCTCACAAGTGTCTTCAATATTCACAGCAAGCAAACGCAGTCAAGTTAGAACTTGAGAATATTAGCCAGTGTTGGTTTGTACGATTTTCTTGCTCTTACAGGTAAAACTCCATTATAACAAACACCCAAAACCATCTGTGGAATGTTCCCAAGCTCCTTCCACTAACCCTGGGAATGGTTCACAGAAACCTTTTCTGGGGGTTTGAAGTCCTTTTTTTTTTTCTTAAACAAGTGTTCTGTCTATCAATCTCTTTGCTTTTGTTTTATCAAGACAGGGTTTCTCTGTGTAGCCCTATTTGTCCTGGACTCGCTTTGTAGGCCAGGCTTACCTCAAACTCACAGACATCCACCTGCCTCTGCCTCCCTGACTGCTGAGATTACAGGTGTGCTCCACTGCACCCAGCTTACCATCTTTTTCCATAATAAAGGTTTATTATGTATACAATGTACTTTCTGCATGTGCAGCTGCACACCAGAGGAGGGCACCAGATCTCACATAGATGGTTGTGAGTGACCATGCGGTTGCTGGGAACTGAGCTCAGGAGCCCTGGAAGAGCAGCCAGTGCTCTTACCTTTGAGCCATCTCTCCAGCCCTCACATTTTTGTTATGAAGACAAGAGTTTAGCTCCTCAGCGCCTTGCTTTACCAGTGGCCCTGGTGTGTGGAATGCAGGTCACTGCCACTTTTGTACTGAGAACAAACATCCTGGTTGGCAGTGCTGTCCACAGTGGGTGCCACCCTGTTTACTGATCTTCATTTTCCTGTCGCTTCTTCAGAGAGGAAAGTAACTATCCTCCATCTCCTCTGCCACTGTATGCCTTCTGACTTCTCAGTATCAAACGCCAAAGACGACCAACTTAAAATATCCTTCGGCTTAGCCTTTGGCAGGGGTGGTGGCAGTGACCTGTACCAGCATCTGGGAATGGCTTTTTGGAGCCCCTGGGTCAGTCATACCCCACACATATTTTTATTTAAAACCTAGTAAGTCAAGGCTTGGGGGTCAGCGCTGTTTCTTGGCTGGGGAGGATGGTCTGAAAAGTTCACTGCTTTTTTTTTTTTTTTTTTTTTTTGCAGCATATTTGATTTCATTAAATGTCACTGCCTCCCGGTCCACCTAGCCTCTAGGATTTGCCATATTGGGATTTTACCTGTATGGTTAGTTTCTCACACAGATCCAAAACTACAGCACACTCACTGCAATGGAATCGCTTTGCTTTCAAAATCTTCTAGCAGTAGGTACTCCTCTCCTTCTTCAGAAACAAAAGATGACCCTTGGCTGGTTTATAATCACATAAGAAATGGAGCAAGGTCACCATTACAAATCAGTGACAGCTGTCAATCAAGTAACACCGTGAGTCTGTAACAAAGACTGGACTCTTCCAGGGGAGCTTTCTTAGTTACAACTGTGATCTGCCGCAACGGCAGGGTACCAGCCTCACAGACAACAGGAAACACGAACAAAGGGTTATAAACCTACAATGCAAACCTGAGGCGTAAGCCTGAGACGGTTCAAGTTTCAAGGCTTAAAAAACAAACCAACCAACCAAACAAAGGCTTTAAAATGTACATCCACATGACGCGCACATATGCGCACACGCATGCGCCCACACACATATGATGGCATGTACCAGGTACCTGGTGGGTTCGGGCTTCTTGCTTTGACAGTTGATCAGCAAGAGGTAGTCTTGTGGGTCGTCCTGGAGGCCGAGAGCGTCTGGGTGTGGCGGGAGGCTGATGAGCTGGTAAGAAGGAGGTAGCGCAACCGAAGATGCTTCCACCTGGGTGGAGGCTGGTGCTGTGTTCACGGTGAAAGGCGAGTCAACAGGTGCCTGTGAGGCGCTGGTGAGCGGCTTCACGGGGTCTGCAAGGAAGCATAGTCTTTTAGCCCACCACAGTTTAAGGTTCTGTTGTTGCTGGCAGACTAACTATGTTGAATGTCTGGAGGTAGATTTGTTTGTTTGTTTGTTTGTTTATTTAATCGCACGAAGCCAGAATAAATGATGGCTACCCATGGGTCTAATGTTCTCGCACACAGAGCAGAGGCTGGGGGACAGAGACATTCCAACCACAGGGCAGCACATCCAGGCTCACTTTCTGTCAGACTAGAAGGGAGTGTTCGGGAGCCCGAGGCCCCTCAAAACCACCAACACCCATCTGCCTACACGTGCCGCTCTGGGTTGGTTCCTCAAGAATCCTGCTTGACGCTAATGAGGTCTGAGAATTTCTTTCATTCACACAACCTGGCCTGATTAAACTGAGAGGATTGTAACCTTTAATTTATGATTTTCCACAAAATGTTTTTTTTAATGACTTGTCTAATCTATCACCTTTTTGCCAGGAGTTAATTCTTATTTACGAAAGATGAAAACAGAAAATACACTTGGAAACATTTGTACCACATCATGTCTGCATTTCAGTGGTTACTCTTATGTCCCTGTTGCTATGTCTGAGAGGTTGATTACAGAGTGAGGTAATGTGCAGCCGTGATGTGTTTCACTCTCGATTCAGTTGCAAATTCAGAGATTTAGTTCAAGGGGATTTCAAATGCTGAAGATTAAATAAGGACTCAAAATTATTTCTTCTGGATTTAAGAGAGCCAGGAAAACTTTACTATTCAATGATGAGCTCAAGAGAAATCCACACAACACTAAGGGGAAGATGAGGGAGCAGTTAACACGTCCTTCAAGCTGTCTCCCAACTGGGTTACACTTTCTCCTTGCTAGATCTCCAGGACAGGCACGACATGACCTAGCTCCATGGTCAGTTCTGATGGAAAGGAAACTGAAGACTGTAAATAAGCAGGTCCCCCGTGAAGGCACATGCACTGTAGCATGCCCCATGCCTCCTTCTGACGCTTCCAGGTGATGACGCTTTTCACAGACACACTTCTCCTTTAGTGCTGCTCGCTCGCTCTATCTATCTATCTACCTACCTACCTACCTACCTATCTACCTACTACCTATCTAGTCATTCATTTATTTATTTAAATTTGATAGCCATACAGTAAATACACTGAGAGACTCTCATACTGACCCAACCATGTTTGATTGTCACAACTGGATTAACCTCTTCTCTGGCCTTTCATTTTTCCTTCCGATCAGTGAGAAAGCTCACGGAATCTCTTGAAAACAGGCCCGGGACTCAGAAGTGTCTGTTTCAAAAACTGCCCTGCTTAACAGCATGTCAGGACTTACCTGTGTCTCCAAAAGGCAAGGCTGAAGTAAAAACTGCACTGTAACCCCAAGTAAGTTCATGAAGGGGGAGACATAAGCAGAACCCCAAATTCCCCAACAGCAGTCGCACACGGTAGCTTTGAAGGGGCTGACGCATTACAACGGAAAAATGCGCCATCTTCAACATTCTGGTCTCATGGGCCATTTGACTTGTGTTGAGTCGAGCATCTACCTGGCACTGCATATCTGGATATAAATATTGCATGTGCTGAGCTGGTGAGATGGCTCAGCAGGTGAGGGTGAGCGCCACAGTCAGTGCCCCACGACCTGACTCCAACCTCCGCAACGACATGGTGGAGAGACGCGCACATTGTTCTCTGACTTCCCGCCCTGTAGCACATGGTAACATTCACATGAAGGCATGCAGGCACATCTAAACAAATGGTGTGAGCGCAACAAGTTTGGAGTTGTACCTCAATAGTCTCTAAGGTGAGCTATCTGCTAGAGTAAGCACTGCCCCCCAAAAAAGACATTTGTTTGGCTTTGCTGGCATGTGATTTCAGCCTGTTTTGACGACAAGCCCAGTCATAGAGACCATTCTGCCCTCTGTATTGTGACTTCTGACTTATTACTCTCTCTAAGTATCTTCTAAGAAACAAATACTGGTTCAAGGTTCGCTTACACATGTAAAACCATTTCCCATTTCTTAACTCAGACTGTACCAAGAGTATAATTAGCATCCATTAAAGGCCTAATAAGCCACTGGAGCAAACTCCTAGTCGAAACTTACTTAGAAGGCTGGTAAGCACTGCTGGGGCAATCCCTCCCAGCAGGCAAGCCTTCCGTGCAGGGGGGAGGATTTGAGTGGAGCCACAAGGAATTAACGAGCTCACATGACCCTTACCCTATGTATTGGTTTCTGCTATTTAGGACCATTATGTTGAAAGGTAAATATAAGGGATCCAAAGAGAGAGGTGTCTTGTGTGGTGGTGAATGTGGTCAAAATACATTATGCACATGTATGAAAATGTCATGTCAAACTGTATTATAAACAACATGATGATATAACTATAATGGGCCGGTGAGATGGCTCAACAGGTAAAGGCATTTGCGGCCAAGCCTGACTCCTAGACTAGTTCCTAGGGCCCACACGGTAGGAAGCTGTCCTACGGTCTCCACATAAGCAACGGATACAAAAGCAACTGCGCAACAGCAGCCACTCTCCGCGGGCAAACTGCACCTTCCAGAGATGAATCAACCCGGCCGACCCAGAACTACTTCATGCGACAGCCCGTCTGTTGTGCTTCAAGGACAAACCCGCGCTCATTTCAAAAGCTTCTTGGAGTTTTTAATCCTCAGGGGAGGCTGACAAATGCCATCATGCTTATCCAGAGCTCTGAAGGCATGAAAAGGAAATCTATGAACCTGGGCCCTACCCCAGAGCACCCGCCGAATCACAGACTAACACTGTGCAGTAAAGCCAAACAGAAGGGGTACACTTTCTGGTTGAACTGCTTTTCATGAATTCACAAAATAAACCAAGAGCCTGCCACCGCACAGCCACTGGGAGGGCCGAGATGAAGCATGGACTAACATGAGACACCACGAACAACACGGGCTGACTGAATTCGCCACACACTTCTGGTGTCCCGGCACTGCCAGCCCTGCTGGTAGGAAGGCAGCTGGTACGATGACTTTGAAGACATAAAGCTGTGAATTTTACAAATGCTAAGTTGCATATATCCCATGATGTGGCAGAGCCGCTCACAGACATGTGTCCAAAAGAACTAAGAGTGCACATCTATCAAGCCAGGCACCTCATAATGGGCTGGGGAGACCGCTGGCTGCTAGAGAGCATGAACGGCTTTTGCAGGGGAATTTGATTCCTGACACCCACTCTAGGCAGCTGCCAACTACCTAGCAGGAATCCTATATCCAAAGGATCCAGCGCCTTCTCCTGGCCATCCTGGCACCTGTGCGCGCGCGCGCGCGCACACACACACACACACACACACACACACAAAGGATATTTTTTTTAAAAAGACATAAAAAGGTTCACACCTTTGTTTATAGGACTGAGATGTACATTTAGCAACATTCAAACATATACATATCATGTGACACAGTCACAGGATGGAATGCGGCATGGGAAGAAATCTCCACACACTTTAACATGGTGACTCCTGTGGACTTAAAGTTGGAGGAGGGAAGGTTCTGCTTATGTAGAGTTCAGAACAGGCGGAATCAAATGATGACAGAAGTTAAAAGCATCCCAAATCTACTTTGAAGTAGGAGTTTCTCTAGAAAAAAGGATTCCCCGGTGGAACGTGAATCCTGAAATTCTTAATCTAAGCTAGAGCTTTAAAGCACATTTATGGATACTCATGCGCAGGTATGAACATATAAAACCTCTAAGCAATGCACTGCCAATCTATGCCTGCACAATGGTGATGACAAACAGTGCCTTAATAAAAACAGTAAAAAGAAAGCGGGGTGGTAATGCACTCCTTAAATTCCAGCGCCCAGGAGGCAGAGGCAAGAGACTCTCCGAGTTTGTCTCAGAAAGAAAGAAAGAAAGAAAGAGAGAGAGAGAGAGAGAGAGAGAAAAAAGAAAGAAAGAAAGAAAGAAAGAAAGAAAGAAAGAAAGAAAGAAAGAAAGAAAGAAAAAGAAAGAAAGGAGAAGTAAAAAAAAAAGTAATTTAGGTATAAGGTGTTTTGATTGTATGTATGTCTGTGCACCATTCTCCTCTGGCACCTGCAGAAGTCAGAAGAGGGTATCGGGTCGTCAGAACTGGAGTTATATAGACAGTTGTTTGCCATCATGTGGGTGCTGGAAATTGAAACTAGATCCTCTAGAAGAGCAGCCAGTGATCTTAACCTCTGAGCCATCTCTCCAAACGCAATAAAAAGAAAGTCAGTTCTTGATTAATACTGCTTTATATAAAAAAAGACACCCTCATACCCTGCCCCCCACATACGCACTTTCTTTCATCTCTGAGAAATGGTCTTCTATGTCTGGGTAACCAAGAATGACCTTAATCTTCTGATCCTCCTGCCTCCACATCTCAAGTTCTGGAATTCACAGACATGTACCACCACGTTGTCTAATGGTTTCTTTAAAAACTCAGCTATGTTATAGCAATATGTTTTTGCTTTAATCTCAAGTGTGGGATTTTAGTTGGGGCGTTCATCTGTCCACAGCTGATAACTGCCTCCTATAACAGCCTGCCTCGTGCAGCACGGAGAGGGGTGTGGTCTAGGACTCTCAGGGATACAAGAGCTCAGAAAAAAGAAAGAGAAGCAGTTTGGAGAGACCAGAAACGGATGGTGTGGCGGATGGAGGAGACAGACAGAGAGAAACGTTTCAAAGCATCGGCTTGGGGGAGCCTGCTTGCTGTGTTTGCTGTTGACAGAGAATGGTACAGCTTCCTAAGAACCCATCAACCCTGAACAGCTGGGAAAAGTAAAGGGCTCTGTGCCCCCACCCCACTGACCTTATCTCTCTTACCTAGGGTTAAAGGTTTGGTGGAGGAGAGGTAGAGGCTTAAATACCCCAAATAAAACAAAGTTTAAAAACGAGGGCAACAATGTTGTGTTAAAACTTTCCGAGGATGAAACACAGAGCTCTGTAACGGGCTAGACAGGCACTCTAACAGGCATACATCCTGGGCACTTCAAGAGCATTCAGCCTTGTCACTGTGCCTCCAGCAGCCACGGCTGGAATTACCAGCACTTGCTTATTGCGTTTAAAAGCTCCCCCCTTGGTGCACCACCCTCAAACACACAAACAAAAACCCTCATCAATCTGCACTTTTCCAAGACAAACAAAAGAAGCTGGATTCTCTCCTGAAATCCACTAAGGAAAAACCTGAGCAGGAGCCACACACGCTTCAGCAAGCTAGAAGTTAAAAACAGGGCCGCCTGCCAGCGTTCTGGGTATTCATAGCAGCAGTCACCTGGGACAGAGGAAATAACATGGTAATGATATTTTGAGAGGTTCCTGGAATCAAAACACAGGTCAGAGTTTTCCCTTTCCTTTTGTTCTGAGGGGAAAATCAGTTATTCTCACAGGGATCAGGAGACTTATTTTCTCAGACAGTGCTGTCCAAGCATAGTCTATTTCTTCCCACATCTGGCCTGAAACTCCAACAGTAAAAAAGAATCTCGGGGTACCAGCCAACTTCTGAGACGAGAACAGTGCCTCTGAAATGCAGAGTACAGGGCTTAGGGACAGACCTAAGGCGAAAGTGCCTATTGCTGTTGAGGGATTAGTTGTGCGGTATGGTTGGGAACAAGATAGAAATAAAGTCCTGGCTGTTCTTCCAGAGGACCCTAGTTCAGTACACAGAACCCACGTGGCAGCTCACAACTGTCTGTAACTCTAGTACTAGGGGCCCCAACATCCTCTTCTGACCTCCTCAGTCACAGCTATGTATGTGACACAAAGTAAAACATGTAGGCAAAATATCCACATCCATTAAAAACCACCACCACCAAACTTGTCTGTAATTCCAATTCCGTGGGATCTGATGCCCTCTTCTGGCCTCTGCGGGTACTGCGTACACAAGGTACACACATACACACAAGCAAAACACCCATATACATACATTGTATATCATAACAGTTAGCCATATACACACACGTTAGTTTTCTAAAAAGTGGTGTGGAAGTTAATGAGGGAACACAGACACCCCGGTTTTTACATAACCGTGAGCATGTCTACAAAGCTCTGTTCTGATGTTTAAAATCCAACACAAATCTTTACACGCACTACAAATGCATGAGGGTGTGGAATGGCTGATTTTAAAGGCCCCTTTTTGCAGTGTTTCCACTACATACTGGAAAGCGAAATGACAGAGTGTGTTGCTCTTCCTGTCTTTCTAATTGATACGGCGCAATAATCGGTCTTTGGATTCATCTTCTTTGGATTTATCTAAGACATTCAGCCTATATGTCAATACAGTATATCAAGACATGCCTATCAGTAGCTATTTAGGGGAGACAGCTAGAAGAAAGTTGGGAAAATTCTGAAATATTAACATCTAAAATGTAATTTCCATTCCACTTAGATACAGTTAGTTCATAAACTGTAGGAAGCCTGGGGCATTGAAGTCACGAGGGACAGACTGAGTGAACGAACACACAAAAAGAATTTGTGATTAGCAAAGCTGTTCTGGAACCCAACTCACCAACCACACATTCCACATCTGAATAATGATTTTATAAATTAGCTCACAGTCTTCTATCCTTCACACATGATTACGAAGACAAAGTGTGTAACTTCAAAGTTTCACTCAGCAAATATATTGGTAACTGACTTTAAAGGACTTCTGAGTTCTGGCACTAAAAAGGTCACTGTAGCTTTTAGGTTATATCTCCAAATACCTCTGGTAAGCTAGTTTTTGTAAAACAAAAACTCACATTGGATCTGACCAATGCTGACATCTAAAAATCAAGGGAAATGTTTCATTAAATATAGAAAAAAAAAAACAACTTAGTACATTTAGCATACAGCCATTTAAAAAGTCTCCTTTTCATAAAAGCAGGAAGTGGGCGAGGAACCAAAAGGGAGGAGGAGCAAATGAAGGTGATGGGATATACATGACACAAAAGCTCATGGAGGACATGTGGAAAAGAGGGGGACAAGCAAGGGGTGAGGGTAGGGAAGGGCCGTGGCGGGGAATAAGAACAGGGCTGAGCTGGGCAAGGTGGTGCATGCCTGTGATCCCAGCACCCTGGGAGGCAAAGCATCTCTGTGAGTTCAAGGCCTGCCTGGTCTACAAAGTGGGGGCAGGACAGCCAAGGCTACACAGAGAAATCCAGTCTTGAAAAGACAAACAAAAAAACAAACAAAGAACAAAGCGTGATGACTCATGCATATGACGTGATGATAACTTATGACAGATGGAACCTACTTCTTTGTGTTATAACAAAGTTTTGTTTTTAAAATGTTCTCGGGCCAGTAAGGAGGCTCAGGAGGTTAAAGCGGACTGACGGCCTGAATTCAGCCTCCAGTACTCCTTCACATGGTGCAGTGAGAAAGCAGACTTCTCCAAGCTGCCCTTTGACCTCTACACTCACACTCTGGCATGCACAGCTTGTCCCCCAAATTAACAAAGTTAAAAAATTTATAGCATTTTCTGTCACCTTCCTAATGAGGACAGTTACTTATAGACCAGCCCATATCAGTTAAGTCTCTCGTCTCTCCAAACTGCCGGCAGAGCTCAGTGCCTGTTCTAAGTGTCAAACTCCTATTGTAAAAACAAAATATCATATAGCTGAATAACGAAGAATTTTGTAACATTTCTAAAACTATAGGCAAAAAAAAAAAAAAAAAAAAAAAAAAAAAAAAAAAAAAA